CTGAACTTCATAAACCGGGTGAAGATTATAGTGACAGTTTCCGATTAACCATGGACCGCAATTTCCAGACTGTTGCGGTGGCAGTTCGTTACCTAGACTATCTCTTTAGAAGAGAAGCCAAATAGTCTGTAAGGCCGAATTACAAGACGATGGCTTTCTTTCTGCTTGTCTAAATTATTTCCAAATTTTTTGATCAGAATTTGGACGTTGAAATTATCCTTGGCCTAAAACCGAAACTCAAATGAACATTTAGCACTCTGCACTACGTTGCCACTGGCAACGTGCCTTGTCATTGCTAGCACGAAGTTCACCACACAAGCTTCACTTAAAAACAGGCACCTGTCGGGATTCCAGGAAAGCCCATCAGACCCAACCCTGTCCTTAGAAGTGGATACTTCCCATGATCCAATGTCTAAGTGTCAATTAACATTGATTTGGATCAAATCTGTGTCGATTAACAGTTGCAGTAGGAAGAGTAAATGATGGTGGTGATGGGTGACTTACTCCAATCTACTGAAGTGAGCAATCCATCTAGAATGTTTCCTTGAAGTGCCAGATCTGTAGATCTGCACCACGTTGGCATGCACGCCATTTCGAAAGAATTTCCGAGCATCAGCGAGCAAAATATTCGTCAATGTATCCGATGAAAGACTTTCCCGCACATGTAAGATTTGATGGATTTCTACTACTGCAGCCTGGAGATCAATCCCTTCTGAGCTAACTCCCTTGCTCGTAGAATCTACGGCAGAAAACCACGCAGCAAGTCAATTTGCTGGAAGATTCTCTGTTACTGAACGTCCACACGGCAGTCCAACAGTAGGCTCCACTTCGCCTCTGCATTTCGAAGCTTGTATGTATTAACATTTATCTTAGAATTGAAACTACAGACACTTGGCACTTGAAGAAGCTGGAACAAGAACAAGATGGACCTACTTCGAGACATTTGCATGTTCATTCAAATCAACTAGTACGCGCAACCGACTGCAGCAAACGGCACACGCTAGTACGCGCAAGGTCGAGGTGGTTCGTGAACTTCTATATGCATATCAATTTAGGAGAGTTTTTTCCTCGCGATGATCGAATGATGAGAGAAAAAATTAAGCCATGGATTATATAGATTTCTCGTGGTACGCTCTGATGCACAAATTATCCCAAAATATCCTGTTCAGCGTCAGTGGAAGTGCGAAATGACAAGGTCACCACTACTGTCCCAAAGCATGATCATCGATAACGAGGGAGTCCAGGTGTCGAAGATGATAGAGAATCCCATCCATCTAGGGAAAGAGCTAGAGGGTTCTAGCGGAAATTGAGGGCGGTCAAAAGGAGTCGATGCGCGAAAGTCAAAATTGGGGGAGAGATTTGTGCAGAAGTTTTGTTTTATCGGTAAGATGCATTGGAAGTGGAGTAAGGCCTCCTAAGGAATCTTCTAAAATCTTCCGGTCACACAAACAAGCGCCAGAAGCAGATTCACATTTCATTACGAGTTTCTGAGCTTAACTGATCCGAGATACTGCATATTTTGGAGAAGTAAGATATTGTAGTAGAAATTGCTGTCTTCAAGGTGACCACCCCCACGTCTAAAGTGAAGGGATTTGATTATGTTGGGTTTAGGGTTTAAACCTAATGAGTAACCTAATGCATGATTTCCGCATGAATAGACATAAACTTATTCGAAAGAGTTAGGGACATGCTAAGAGAAAACTCACTGCTAAGTACCTCAAATGCACCATAGAATAAGGATAACGCTACTCAGAAGTTCTTCCTAAATGTACACACGTCACGTGATAGTTATTGTAACTAACTTGAGATCACACTGGACTTCATCTCGACTGATAATGGGCAACTCTTAGTTCTCATATATAATCCTAGGACCAGCTTCATTACAGATCAGAAGTCATATTCTGGTCTGCTTTTAGATTTTCCAGAACTGTGCCACAACAATTTGATCTTGAATGAACCGTGTATTTCAGCTCAAACCTGTAATTTCAACTTCTGGTTCAAACATTCATTCACTTGTTTGAGATTAATCTCAGCTGTTCTTTTAATCTGACTTCATCGGTCTGTAAGTACGAGAACTAGATTGTAAAGATGAAGCAGTCAGATAGCAGCCATTGTCTTGATGTTTTTAGCTTTAAATGACCATAATTTTCTGTTTCAGAGCAAATTTCAGTATCACTTATTAAAAAAGTCTTACTGGTATCTTGTACAATTGGTTGACAACAATTGTATCCTATTCCGCCGGTTTCACCGACCAATATCCGAAAGTTCTGTTTGGAGGTTTAAGTCTGTAAATTACAAATCTGCAAATGACATGTCTTGTCAAGTCGGTATCCAAGTCCTCTCGATGAATACTTATTGATAAAAGTGAAGAGGATTAAAATGAGAGAAATGTTACTGATAAAGAATGATCGTCGCTTCAGATTCAAATAAATGACATAATTTCATACAACATAATTCATGAATAAAATTGATGCTGGTTATACTCCTCGTCATCGGATCCTCATAAATAAATATGTACGACAGCAACTGATGTATTGGAATGTTTGTGATTTGCTATTAACAGGATTGATCTCGATAGCGCAGTTTTCTGATCGTTTCAGGGATTTATAAGTGAATGCCCCCAGCGTGAGTTGAAAAATTTAAAATCGTGAGGTCCAAATCAAATTCCATATTCTTATAGCATCTCATAGAAGGAATTTTCGAACGCACAAGTTAAGTACAGTATGAGGTCAGTATATGGTTGCAAAGGAATGGACCCAGTTCACTTTTTGCCAAATATCCAATCTGATCATTGATGCAGTTCAGCTCCTTCACAGGAGTTCCATGAGACTTCAAAATTCACGTCCTCAGATTCATGTCCTCCGATTCTCTCAACTGACTTTCCTGAAGATCTCAAGTTACCACAAGGTAGACGTATTGAATGTTTCTGAAGCAAGTGAGTTGGCGGGTATATGGGAATATTCTGACTGAAAAACATCATGACCTGCGTTATGTCGACTGGTACACTGTAAGAAGCTGTGGCAGAAGTACGGATGTCCCGCGAGCGCGTTGCTTCAAATAATCTTCCAACCATCCAAGTGGACTGGACTTACTGACGTTCAGTAAACTATTATGGAACAGGCATACAGCGAATCAGCACATGCGTATGGAAGTTAAGAACAGGGTATAGGCATATGTCTGTATATCTACAGTATTTTAAGCTCTGGATCAAACCACTTCGGAGCTCACGCACATAAACTAGAAGAAACCGACATATGATGTCCATCGAATTACTCGAGTCTGCACTAAAAGGATTTAGTCCAAACCGAGATGGGCATTCCACGCTTAAGAGAGGTCTAAGATTATAGTTTTGAAGTTCATCCAAGCCAAAGGGGCAAGATCCTTGTTACTGGTTGATCAATAGTTCAGTTTAGGCGACATTCGAAATAAATATCATACTAACAACCATCTTGGTTCACCTAGAGATAGTTTCATTTGGAAACCTTATTCCAGGATTTAGTCTTGGCCACCTTACATTCCAAGATAAATCTTACTTGCTGTCTCAAAGTATCTGGAGATATTCATACTGACATCCTCCCCTCTCCGTGCAAGATGGTTCTGGAATTGTTCATTTGAGTATTTTGAACAGCTATACTTGATTCTAGAGAAAACGTCTGGGCATGTCAAGTTTAAGGTTCTTATACTCCATCCAAGTTCTCTTTGGTACGTTACTCTGTCGTGTCTGTCAGGAGGCATGAGACTTGAACCTGAAGGCAGAAGATTCTCAATTTCAAATCCAGTCGAATGATCTTCAATTCGAGGGTTATCCCAACTGCCAAATCCAAATCGACGAGCTGAAAGACATACTTTTTCTACTCCACTACTTGATAGCCATTCAGAGCTTCCAGTCAGAATCTAGACCGCACCTAATCACTTGTCAAACGAACTGTTCAGTGCCCAATAGGCTATTCCTGACACAAAGATCTTCAAATCTCGGAGTCCACATGACAAGAGAAGTAAGCCGCCTAGTAGCTAGCCCACTTGCTTCACCTCCAGCATCAAGTTCTCTCATGTCAGCAGTGATCTCAGACTGACATGTCCTGGTTCCACTTGCTCTGTTGTAAAATATGACTTCCTGGGCTGACATGTCGTAGCTTCGTGCGAAAGTTTGCTGACTCTCTCTTCCTCTCAAAATCCCTCTAGAAGTGTAGGTTTGCAAATCTGGGCTCAGCCTACATAACGCTTTCAACTGCTTTTAAGTTCTCCGCCAGTGGAGAAAACTTCATGTCTTTTGTTAAAGATTTACGATCCTGTTTACTTGGCTGCCTGACTACGCCTCTATCAAGGGTGGGAGTACTTTCTTAACGCACCACAGTTCATAAGAACAGTTCCATTCTGGACATACCTGGAGATTTTGGATTCCTTGCTGTAGCTGTTGTAAAATGCGTCCTCTGCATATCACATGGACTCTTTAACCTACAGGTGCGGAAACTCGCCATCTCAACCTATCTTTTAAATTTTTCCATTGCTCCCCTTATTTTTCACGGGTTTATTTGCTCTGAATATCATGAAATGCGATGTACTTCTGAGAACAATCTTGTCCTTGTTGGCAAATCAATATCTGGCATTCAGAGTAAATTTGATAGTTAATTCATGAGTCCAAGTTTATACGTAGTTGGATTGGATTGTTTGATACTAAGTACATGTGGACTGCTAAGCTCAAAGATGCTCATCCCAAAACGGGCGTTTTAAAGAGAACGTCAATATCTTCAGATGAGTTGTTGTCCAAAGTGCATATGATTACCATTCGTTCGCAGGGATCGATGCGTTGGCCATGAGTATTTTCTTCCTTGTGTTTTTAAGAAGCGCAAAAGTCAATCCACCATGAGTGTAGACCTCTACTTCCCAAGATTCACCTTGTTATATTTGTCAGCCAAAAAAAGAAACAGACCTTAGGGAGAGAAACGAGGGAAAAAACCACGTCATAAACATGTGAGAACAAAAGAGCAGTTACAACTTTTAAATCCTGATCATACGCGGGTTTCATATTGAATGAGAGTCTAAACATATGCTTGTCATCTGCATAATGACATTGTAACCTCTTCAAATTCCTAACATGTCAAGATGCCAGAACGAAGACCTTTTACCATGCACTCCTCGCACACCCATGCATGCCCACCTAATTCTAGTCTCACGTATTTCACCTGATACAACTTGAAGATGGCCGAATACCTATCTTGAAGCTGAGGCGTCAGAGTTTGCTGAATCCTCAACCATGCTTCTCTCAGCTCCTTACTTTCCCCACCATTTAGAAATGCCCTACGATCACGATCGCTAAGACCATCTAATTCAGCAATATCAGATTTGAAGTCTTCCCAGTCCGGAATCGCTTGGCCTAACCCAAGAGTCACATCTAGTCCAGCCTTTGCAGCATAATACAGGACTTTGAATGAGATTTTAATGGTTTTCTCAATCCAGCCGCAATTCTTCCCATCCAAGCGTACCTTCAAACCTTCTTGATCTTTCACCCTATGAAATCCAGTCACCGACTCACACATCAAGTGTAATCGAACGATTGTTCCCACATGCAGAACTGCGCTCATCCTATAGAAAATGCCAACATCGTCCGTAACGTAAGGTCGCTTGGGAAATCTTGCCTGCCGAAGAGATTGAGAATACCCATTGATGTTGTCCACTTCAGACATGAAGGCACTCATTGTTGGCTGCAGTTTTCGTTGTAAAAAGAGTATCTGTTCCATCTTAATATCCAATCTCTGCACAATGTTCTCCACTGATCTCAACCTCTCATCCAAACCATGAAACATTTGTAGTATCAGGTCTATCTTGTTCTCAAGTCCGGTTGAACAAGTTTCTACACTTGTGCTGGCTTGACTTATGGATGAAGTTGGATTGGAGTCTTTCATATGAGGAAGATTTGAATCGCTAACCATGTTCTCATTTGCAGGGTAAGAATGATTCAAATCATTCTTCACGTTGTTTGAAGCTCGCCGCAATGACTCCAATTGTTGCATTTGCTTATCTCGAATCTCATTCACAATCGCTTCCACATCGCTCTCCCACAGCAAGTCCCTAGCTCTTTCGAAGACAACATCTGTCGTGTGACTTTCAATCGGGGGCCAACAGTGCTCATAGTTGAACAACTCTTCCTCCTTCTCCAAGTGTGACTTATCCAACGGAATATCCTCAAGTTTGTCTTTGATGCTACGAATGAATTCAGATTTGAGCTCCTCAATCAGAATCGCCCCTCTTAGATGACACGGAATCAGCATCTCCACGCAAAGTGTTTGGATCACACCAAGCACTAAAGCCACCCCGGGACAGCCTTTGGGTGATGCGCAAAATGATATCAACTCCTGGACGACATGCTTCATTAGGTATTTCAGAGCCCCCTCCCGTGACTTATGCTTCGAGCATAACATCAGAATATCCACGTATTTGTGGGAACTTCCTTGCTGGACATAAATCTGATGTCCATCAAGAAAAAATCCAAGATAGTGTCGAGAGCAGGTCACAGTCTCCTTGGAAACATGCATCTCCGATATCAATTTGCGTCTCATGAACATCTACAATGATATAAAACTTGGTAAATATTGAGGTATTCATTCCAAAAATTGAATTGAATTAACATATGAAACGAGAATATTCCATTCATTTTACACAAATTACAATCAGAACTTGACGAATTCAATCTTCTCATAGTATATATGCAATCATGATATAACCTCACCTGGAAGCATGGAAAGAAAGCAGCGGTCAGCAACATTGTTCTTCCATCTTGACATTGAATCCGGATGCCCACAAACCGTGAAGTCTCATCCCTAGTTCTCCAAGCCATCGACTCCATGTGCGCCCCTTCTTGATGCTTCTTTTCTTCCATGCTTGCATGCTCAGGTATGAAGGAGGGAACGAAATACTGAGAAGTATCTTCGAGCTTGAAACACAAATCCAAATTGATAAGGATGTTTTCAACCACCTCTTTGTCCACACCTTTCTGTCTGCATGATTGCTTTCGCAGAAACTCTTCTATCAACCGAGCAAAGACACCCTCACTCACAAATCCGTCCTTGCTTGTGTATGAGTTCCGTGACATGGTTTTGTCTGAAGACCCGGACTCTTGAGGTTGAAAGTCTTGACCTAGAGCTACTAGCTCACCCAATAATACATTGGTGAGCCAGTTTGGATTTATGATGATATAATCAAGGTTATGAATATAGATGATGGATCCTATGTCATTCAAATAGGATAATATGGAAGTCATTAAACTTGAATGATCAACAGTAAGAGCAGAAGATGATGGAATAAACTGAGCCAAGCTGGGGTCACAAAAATCTTGAAACTCTTGGGATGACCAAAGTGGGCAACATTTGTTCTCTTCGGTGTTTGTAATCAAGAGGGACGAGAGTTGAGAGCACAATAGGGGAACTCGTGGAGATTTTTCACTCAACAACTTTGTGAAGATCTCAAAGATGTGATTTTTGAGAGGAATAACTTGCTTCTTCTTCCTAGCATCTACGTGAAAACACTCTTGAATAGGGTGGAGATCCACAAATTTTGCAAATCTTTTGGTGAGCTTGTTCACTATTGAGTTAGCCCATGTCAAAGAGCTGGATTTGGCTTTATCCTTGTGTGATATCACAACAAGAACTTGTGGACGATTATGCCCAGTAATCCTAGAGCTGGATGTGATGAAACTCAACCATTCTTCCAACTCTGTTAGAAAACAAGATTCTGATTTGTCTAAAGATGTTTTTTCACAAAAGTGGCTATACACAAATAGAAAAATACAAAAGTTGCTGGTTTGAGGGAAAAGTACACTTTGAAGGGTACGAAAGACTCTTTGTCCTGCAAGATCCCAGATTGAAATTTGACCTTTGTCATTATTTTGCAAGAACTCCACCTCAATGCCTCTCGTTCTCCACAACTCGTCCCATTTGTTACCAAGCCAACTTTTGCCTTGAACTATCCTCATCAAGGTTTGACGCAATTTGGTCTTGCCTAGAAAATTGAACAAACAGAATCATAACAAATACAATTTGTTACTTGAGATGTTTTTACGTATCAAATGATATCATAGTTTTATATCATATGAGTAAAATATTCTTAACAAATTATTATCATTCATTTATAGTTTGAAAAGTTGCCACAATGGAAGTGGATATACGATTTAAATGACCAAAAAATACACATTTGAAGACTATGTCTAAAATTACTGGGAATCTTGAACAAAACAAGATATTTATAATTCAAATTTTATTTGGATATATTTTTTCGCTTTCTTCCCACTTGAAAACACAATTTTACACAATTGCATATACATCTAGAGATAAACAATAAAGTTGACGGCTATAAGTTTAATTTTTGAGAAGTAAAAACGTTAGATTGCTCATTTGGATACATTGAGAAAAAAACGGAGAACTGACGGAGCAACTTACCTGCTCTAGGAGAGCCGCATAAAAAGAGTCGACCAGCTTTTGCATCTCCAAATGTTAATTTGGCTTCTCTGAAGACTGCCATGTAGACCGCCCGCTTCTTGTTTTGCTTTAGTGCCTCTTGAATCTGCGACGCCTTTCCGTCCGTTTGCAATGAGGTGTGTGAGTACGTTGGCCATGAGTAGTCTACATTTATTTCCTCCAGAGTCAAATTCACTTGGAGTAGCCCCATCAGGTCCCTAAACATCTCTTCGTCGAGTTTAGAACTAGATAATTTCAAGTGAGTGAGACTTGTGTTGTCTCGCAAGCACGAACGCAGGATCTTCCATACTCCCTTCAAAAGATCTTTGCCCTTAACATCTAATACCAGTCTCTTCAGGACGGAAGCTTCTCCAGTTTGGCCATTCTTCGGGAGTATACTTTCCAGTCTATCTTGGTCGCTACCCGAAGTGGTCCGATTCAACCACCTTAGACTGAAAGATTTCAGAGATTTGATATCCCCGCGCAGTACCCTACCTAATAGGTTTAATGATAACATGCAGTCGTGGTCATCCGACATTGCAAAATTGAGTTGAAGCTCCAATTTGGGGTCCTTGACATCGGAGCTGGCAGCACACACAAGAGCTTCTACTGACTCCCAGTACTTACTCACAGAATCGAAATCAAACGTTACAAGAAGATTCGTTGCTATAGCATTGTCACGTATGACTTCGCCGAGCTGGTGCCATTCCTCACGACTCATCCGCGAGTTATCCAACTCCAATTCCTTCAATGATGTGTTGGAAGTAAGAAGTTCCCTTAAACAGCCTCCGAGTTTACGCAGAAACTTTAGCCGAAGAGTTTCAATGGATCGGTTGCCATCGTCTCCAGCGAAAGCTTTCAGCGACAAGGCCGCTCCCCAGTCCACCGTCTCTAATCCCAAACGTTTCAAAGAAGAGCTTTGGATCAAAGCCTGGGACAGGATTCCAACGGTCTCCTCCTCCATGGCGTCTATAATGCCTAAATGCAACCCTTCTAATCGAGTAGCACTGTTAATCATGTAAGCCACATGCTTCACCGCACTCGAGTCCTCGCACGCGTCCGATAGTGTTAAAGACTTGAGGTTAGATTCAGAATTTCCTCGCAGTCCTGAGGCGAGATTAGAGAAACATCTGGCATTCAATCTGTTGTACATTATTCTCAAATCTGCTACGCCAGAGGAATTCAGAAGTTGCCCCAGCTGTGAACACAAGTTCTCCACTTCCGCATCTGAATTCCATTTCAAAGAATGAACGAGTATACTCTCGGTGCTATATCTGAATCCTCTCAAAACTATTTCCCACTCGCTAGCGGTCAACCTCGATATATTTCCGCCACAAATTTCATTTACATTCAATTCCCCAAGGGTGTTGCAATTGCCGATTGCCTCCAGCACTCGAAGGCGCACTTTGCTTCGCCACCCTCTGATATTCGAGAGAGATGCACGCTTCGGAAAGAAATCCCGAAACTCTGGCACCCATAATTCGGGAAACGACTCTATAGGCTCGCCATTTCCTTCCAGACGCCGTAGAAGGTCCTGGACAGCGGAAGGAAACTCCGGTTCCTCGTCCGAAGAGTCCATTTCCTGGAAAGTGGAGGAAAGCTCCGGTTCCTCGTCCGGAACTTCAAATCCCAGACGCCGTAGAAGGTCCTGGACAGCGGAACGACACTGCGGTTCCTCGTCCGCAGAGTCCATTCCCTGGACAGCGGAGGAAAGCTCCGGTTCCTCGTCCGCAGAGTCAAATCCCAGACGCCGTAGAAGGTCCATAGGGTCGTTTCCCACCACCATAGTGACAAGTTCAGCCTGGATAGACGCTCCTGCACTTTCCATTCTCTCCTCCACTCTCACACAGTAAGACACGTTTGCTGCGGTGAAATGTAACCGAGACTTCAAGAGTCCCTTCAAGAGTCCCTCTCCTCGATCCGCAAGCCCGGCTCTCCCGAATAAAACTTTACTTCCCGTCCCGCTGCAGTGTCACATCTCTTGTGAATGCTGGAGGAGGTCACTCTGCATGAGTAGCAACACAAAGATTAATCTAAGCTGTGCACAGAATCAGAACAAGAGCAATCACCAGGAAGGCAGGAAGATTGTGGAAAGTGAATGCTGGAGGAGGTCACTCTGCATGAGTAGCAACACAAAGATTAATCTAAGCTGTGCACAGAATCAAATCAAGAGCAATCACCACAAAAGCAGTAAAATTGTAAAAAGTGGGCGAAGAGTGTTGCTTGAACTCAATGCAGGGCGCCATCAACGATATGAATCAAAATGAACACAGAAAACCAGGATTACGATTGGAACAAAAATCAGATGGCGTGTGCATCTGTGAGGAACCCAAACCTATTGTGAACTTGAAAAGAGAGAGGCGTTTGATGTATATTGGTGATCCAACTGGGTGTACAACCTGATAGCTTTGCAGATGCTAAGTCACTCTGCATGTGCCAATTCTCCCCTTCGCCACACTGCCTTGAAATGGAACGAACTATTGCAAACTCATCGTTGGACAGTCCGTTGGATAAACTGGGGACCAAACTGGGTGTACAAGCTGATAGCTCTGCATATGAATCCTAAATCCAAAAGACTGGTTTGTAGCAACAATGGTGCGATGTGGACGCAGAATTCCAAAGAATGCATGGAAGCGCAGATTTCTCAGATGTGAAGTACTTTGAGTGGTGTAAAACTGCATGTACAATTGGAGAATGCGAATTTAGCTGTATCAAGACCTCGGAAGACAGACTCTAGTATGGGTAGGGCGTGGAAAATACATGCAGCGTCATTCAATCAGATCTTCTCATTGAAGCGCGTGAGTGGTCGAGGTAACGACAATATGAGAACACAACAAGCTACTTCCTCTATACTCGGTGTGATTGGAAATTGGTCTAAGAAGGTGGGTATGGATCTTGACTTTGTTGTGCAAGCGAAAAGGAAACGTGGGCCAATGCATCAGTGTGCTGATACACTCGATGTCTTTACGCTGACAACGGAGATTCCAAAGTTCGTTTTCATAGAATCATTTTCCTGGAACCTTTGATCTTGCAAGCAAGTGGATGTATTGTGACAAATGAGAGGCACATGGGTAGTCAGCTCGGCGGACAAAGCCTGTTGTGCTTTTTTCGTGTGTTGAAAATCGGTACAGTAGGCTACGTAGGGTCGAAACAAACTTATCAACTTTTTGGGAGTTTTCTAAGCATAATGTCGAATTGAGAATTGAGAACAGAGAATAAGAGTACTCGAGGTTATCAACTGGTGGTTTGTTTTTCTTCTAATAGCTCAACCGTCGAGATTCCATTGACTCTATTCAGCGAACAAATAACCGTTCCACCTTGCAACGCACGGGTCTCCGGGAATCGCTATGAGGAAAAGAAATCCAGGAATGAGTCAGAGTCCAGCACTGTTTTCGCTTCATGCACTAGTATTCAGAGCTGTGGTGACTCATACGCAACTCTAGTTGTCGGTGCGCCACCTGATGGAAAGTATCTTGCACTCTCACTGATGACACAAGTACTCTCTTGCACTGACTCTTAGTGTAAGGTCTTCTATTTCATTCTTTATTTCTCATTGTTCCACAAGTTGTAATATATCTAAAAGTTTTTCCTATCTTAAACTAGAAATTATTTTAGTACTGCATGTCACTCCCGGCATATATTAATTTACACCAGTTCATTGTCCACTGAAGAAAGTGAAGATGCTGGGCTGGACATTTTCGATGGTTTTTGTGGGACTTAGTTGTTGAAGAGTACAATGCCTCGACTGCAGAGTCCATCTGAATCATGCCATTCCCTTTTTGCTTTTTTAACACGCATTTCGAGCCAACCATGTCATCAGTTGAATATTTCAGCCCTGAATCTTACTTTTGGGTTGGGCTTCTTGACTGCACCTGGTGTCGACAAAAGAGAAGTTGAACCTAGAATCAGGTATATACCCTTTCATGATTCCTCACTCTGTCCGCAGGCAGTGACACCGACGTGGTGAAGCTTGAGTTACGTAGTTTGTTCTGATACTATGCAATTCCTACGCAGTCACACCATTTTTCAAGACCATGATCAACTACGAGACTGCTTTTCAGGCCCGATTTCCACGGATCTACGAAGCAGGTGGGCCGGTTGGAGTACGGTTGATTATTACGGAGCTGCTGGGGTCCACGAAAAGCAAATTCGAATCGGACGTGACGGCCGTCTTGATGCTTGTCCTCAGGAAGAATATTGTTCACCATGTGGGTATAAGTACAGCGCTCTGACAGTGCTGAATTTGATAGAATAATGTCCCGAAAGTGTCTCGTTGTTACATTGAGAAAGCGGTAGTCCATACAGCACCTGGAGATTCCATTGACTCTATTCAGGGTACAAATAAGCGTTCCACCTTGCAACGCACGGGTCTCCGGGAAGCGCTGCGACGAAAAGAAATCCAGGAACGAGTAAGAGTCCAACACTCTTTTCGCTTCATGCAGTAGTATTCAGAGTTGTGGTGACTAATATGGAACTTTAGTTGACGGTGCGACACCTGCACAAGTCCGAGGCGACAGTTTCCATCAGCCATGGACCGCAATTTCCAGAGTGTTGCGGACCATGTCCGTGGACTATCCCTTAAAAAGAGTAGCGAAAGAGTCTGGAAAACCGAATTACAAGACGATGGCTTTCTTTCTGCTTGTCTAGTTGTCTCAATTTACGCAAAACTACCGCCCACTCGCTAGCCGTTAACCTCGATATATCTCCGCCAAAAATATCTTGTAAGCCTAGATATTCAAAGGTGTTGCACCTGCCGATTGCCTTCAGCACTCGAAGGCGCACTTGGTTTCGCCACCCTACGTTCGTCGAGAGCGATGCATGTTTCCGGAAAAATTCTCGAAATTCTTTCCGGATTAATGTGGGCAGCCACCGTGAACAGCCTTCCAGCTGCCGTAGAAGGTACTGGACAGCGGAAGGAAGCTCCGGCTCCTCGTCTCCGGAGTCCATTCTCCGTGTCGCAAGTTCAGCATCGTCAAGGACGATGGACGCACCTGCACGTTCGATTGTCTCTTCCCTTGTCAATTTCCAAGGTCAAAAGGCGTGCTCCATGCCTTTTGCCCCAGGCATGCCCGTATTACATTTACGTTTATATGAAGCTTCTACTAAGTTTTTTGGTGAATTATTCCAGTCATTTTGCTTTGATAAAATTAAGTTCGAAATTCTAGAAATTTTCAAATAAAAAATAATAATAATGAGAATTTATCAAATAATCACTTGGTTTTTTACAATCTAATGTAAGATGTTTTAATTTTCTAAAAGTCGCATTATTTTGTTTAATATTGAAGTAAAAATAGGTGTTATTTTTTAATGAAAGCCAATGTTCATATTTTGTTATAGCGTATTCATGTAAAATTTGTTACACAGTTTGCAATTCGAGTATTTTTTTTGTTGATTTTAATCTGAAAATCTTAAAGCAAAAAAAATTTGATATGATTTGTTTCAAACAAGACAGTTATTCCATGAAAGTGTCAATTTTAGGATTCTCATAAGATTTCTTAATTTCCTTAAAAGATTTGACTCTTCATCTCCTCGCTTGTTTCAGTATACTTGAATAGTACAACTATACTAAAAAATTAAAACGGTAATCAGTCATAACAAAGATAATGACTGAATGCCAAGTTCCTCACTCACTCAGGTTCGAATGGATACAACTATTTGTGGGGTCTTATGCAAACAGACAAGAGTACAAGTGACTTGGCTCTGAAAGTACTTAATGACTTTTTCTTCTTTGGTAACCCAGACCATTCGATTTGGTACGTTTAAATATCTAGGATTATGCACCAGTATACATTTACATGGCTTTACGTGTAAGAGATTTTTACAATTTGTTTACTAAAGTATGTAGTTGATACACAATTATTGCATACACACTTTTTAGATAGATGAACAGAAATCTCTCTTGCTCACACAAGTTTACAGGTGGTATAAAAAAGTATCTTGCACTCTCAGTGATGACACAAGGACTCTCTTGCACTGACTCTTAGTGTAACCTCTTCTAGGAATCTCACATTTCATTTCTGATTTCTCATTGCTACACAAGTTGTAATATATCTAACATTTTGTCCCATCTTAAAGTAGAAATAATTTAGTACTACATCTCACTCCTGGCAAATGTTAAACTTACACCAGCTCACTCTTCACTCAAGAAAGTGAAAATGCTGGGCAAGACATTTTTTATTTTTTGTGTGTGACCTTAGTTGTTGAATAGTACAAGGCCTCCACTGCACAGTCCATCAGAATCATGTCATCGCATTTTTAGCTTTTTGAACACACATTTCAAGCAAACCCTGTCATCAGTTGAATATTTCAGCCCTGAATGTTCTTTCTTGCTTGGGCTTCTTGACTGCACCTAGTGTCGGCAAAAGAGACGTTGAACCTAGAATCAGGTATATACCCTTTCATGATTCCTCACTCTGTCCGCATGCAGTGACACCGACCTGGTGAAAGTGAAGTTACTTAGTATGTTCTGATATCATGCAAGTCACACCAGTTTTCAAGACCATGAGCGCCTTCGAGACCGCTTTTCAGGCCACATTTCCACGGATCTACGAAGCAGGTGGGCCGGTTGGAGTACGGTTGATTATTACGGAGCTGCTGGGGTCCACGCAAAGGAAATTCGAATCGGACATGACGTCTTGATGCTTGTTCTCAGGAAGAATATTGTTCACCATGTGGGTATAAGTACAGCGCTTTGACCGTGCTGAATTCGATAGAATAATGTCTCGAAAGTGTCTCGTTGTTACATTGAGAAAGCGGTTTTCCATACAGCACCGGGAGATTCCATTGACTCTATTCGGTGTACAAATAAGCGTTCCACCTTGAAACGCACGGGTCTCGGGGAAGCGCTGCGAGGAAAAGAAATCGACGAAAAGAAATCCAAGAACGAGTAAGAGTCCAACACTCTTGAGGTCCAAATCAAATTCCATATTCTTATAGCATCTCATAGAAGGAATTTTCGAAAGCACAAGTTTTAGTACAGTATGAGGTCAGTATATGGTTGCAAAGGAATGGACCCAGTTCACTTTTTGCCAAATATCCAATCTGATCATTGATGCAGTTCAGCTCCTTCACAGGAGTTCCATGAGACTTCAAAATTCACGTCCTCAGATTCATGTCCTCCGATTCTCTCAACTGACTTTCCTGAAGATCTCAAGTTACCACAAGGTAGACGTATTGAATGTTTCTGAAGCAAGTGAGTTGGCGGGTATATGGGAATATTCTGACTGAATAACATCATGACCTGCGTTATGTCGACTGGTACACTGTAAGAAGCTGTGGCAGAAGTACGGATGTCCCGCGAGCGCGTTGCTTCAAATAATCTTCCAACCATCCAAGTGGACTGGACTTACTGACGTTCAGTAAACTATGGAACAGGCATACAGCGAATCAGCACATGCGTATGGAAGTTAAGAACAGGGTATAGGCATATGTCTGTTTATCTACAGTATTTTAAGCTCTGGATCAAACCACTTCGGAGCTCACGCACATAAACTAGAAGAAACCGACATATGATGTCCATCGAACTACTCGAGTCTGCACGAAAAGGATTTAGTCCAAACCGAGATGGGCATTCCACGCTTAAGAGAGGTCTAAGATTATAGTTTTGAAGTTCATCCAAGCCAAAGGGGCAAGATCCTTGCTACTGGTTGATCAATAGTTCGGTTTAGGCGACATTCGAAATAAATATCATACTAACAACCATCTGGGTTCACCTAGAGATAGTTTCACTTGGAAACCTTATTCCAAGATTTTGTCTTGCCACCTTACATTCCAAGATAAATCTCACTTGCTGTCTCAAAGTATCTGGAGATATTTATACTGACATCCTCCCGTCTCCGTGCAAGATGGTTCTGGAATTGCTCATTTGAGTATTTTGAACAGCTATACTTGATTCTAGAGAAAACGTCTGGGCATGTCAAGTTTAAGGTTCTTATACT